GCCCCAGTGTGCCAGCCTTTGAGCTGCAGGGGCCCCAGTGTGCCAGCCTCCGAGCTGGCGCAAAGAGCTCACTTTCCCTCAGATCGATGTTCATGGGGTCCAGTGCACAGAGCCAGTGTTAACCCAGGGCGAATCTTGGATTTAGCCAGATGGCCCAGAGAGCCAAATCAGTGACTTCCCAGGGAATCTGCCAGGCCGGGTAAATCCAAAGCAAAGTCATCAGCTCAGGTGGGTGACTGTCCTCTGCCCATTCCAAGGGGCACTCGCACTAGATTTTCTCCAAGGACACAGGATGATCACGGGGCATTATTAGAAAGAAGTTGTAAGATGACGGGAAACAGCAGTCGTGATGAAAAAGGCCAGGAATGTCCCCACCCCATGGCGATGCTCCTGCTCATTCTTCAAGGGTGGCCAGGAGTGCCCTTTCAGTGTCTCGTTGGGAAACCTTATCACATCCACCCTCCAGCCATGATCCTCCCCCACCCCCGCCCCCACCCAAGACCTCAAAGAACACTAAGAAAAAGGAAGCCTCTGAGTCCTTTCAGGATGCCCAAACTGCCATTGCAGCAGAAGTTCAAGAGCAGAGAATTTTCCGGGGCAGGAGTTAGGGTGCATGCAGAAGTGTATAAACCTAGGGGAGGGTGCACAGGGAACCAAGAGCTTCGCATTTTGATAGTTTTGATTCAGAAAGATATCCGGGGGTGTGGCAATACGTTTTGACTTACCCTCGGACATAAGGTGTATCCCACGGGGCCTAGCTGAACACCTGTCACCATCCATGTTTTGAAAAGCATAAGAGGGAATATTAGGATCGTTTGCAGTCATTTTAGGTCCAAAATCTTCGGCGAATAATCCCAACTTTGCTTCCCATCCACTGGTGGCCCGCGGTTAGTGAGTGCGGTTGACTTAGAAATGACCAGGTGGAGGTTTTAAAACTCACACTTCTGCTGTGAAGAAGCTATTGCAGCAGCTCCACCTCTAGAGGGAGGCAGCGTCCACATCATCTTCTTGCTGCTTGACCTGGAGGCTGTGACTAAAAGGGGCCAGATGTTTGCATAGATGGTAAACACCGGCAGATCCAGCAAGTCAAGCCCCTAGAGGGGTGGCCCAGGGAGACAAGTATTTATCCCTCCTCCCTGTTTGCCACCAAAGTTGATGGTTTGGCTGTTTGGCAACTCAGTTTCCAGTTTGTTTCTCTGAGTCTAGCCTTTCCTGGTGTGAACACACGCAGCTCCAAGTTCTGGGCCCCTTGGGGTGATGAGTTTGAGAAGCGGTCAGGTCTTCAGAAATAACTATTTATAAAATGTATCCATATGCTGCATAATGAAGTCTTGGCGAAGACCCAAGTCCTTGTGAATTTAATCACACCGTCTTCCATTTACTACAGGCACCTGAGCTCACTGATGTCTTAGGTTCAATGGAACCCGGGTTTATTAAGGAACTTCCAAGTGCTGGGAGCCATCCCAGAGCTTTGTTTAAAAAGAAAACCATCTCGCTGACCCTACCCCCCCTGCCCCCCTGCCCCACCTCCCCTCCAAAGGTACAGTGGAGCTCAGCCTGATTCAACGATTGATCTGGGAGAGGTTGTTGGATGCCTTGGAGGGTGTGATAAAATCCACTAGTGGAAGAAAGAAGATAAGCCCTGACATACATTCAGGGCAGCCGTGCTGGGGCTCATCATCACCCACAACCAAGGAAAGACAACTCAGGACGTCGCTTTGCAGAGAGCAGTATTTCCTCCAGGAAATAATAACACGGAACAATATTTCACCAAGGAAGTAATACAAGCAAGGAGTTGGCTTTTTATGTGTTGGCAAGGGGACGGATGGTCAGTCTTCTGGGTGCTGTTGACCATACCCATGGCTTCTCCTGCATCTACCCCACTCCGTTGTTGTCGGAGGAAAGCAGTGACAGACAATAGGCAAAGAAAAGAGAGTGGCTGCGTACCAGTAAAACTTTATTTTACAAAAACAGCCAGCAGGCCCGAGTGACCAGCCCTTGATATACAACCTGTCTCCTGAGTCAACGAAAAATAATGGGAGGGGAGGACCAGGAGCATTGGGGAATGTAACCTTCCACCCTGACAGGGACTCTGGAGATAATACCTAAATTTGGCACATCCAGACATAGCTGCGTAGTTCTCTTAGACAGAGAAGAAACCGCAGAAAGAGATAAAAAGCAGCCACTAGATAAAAAGTAGGGAGGAGTTGGAAGATAAATGGGGTAGAGTGGTGGCTTTAACCCCTTTGGTGGTCCATTAGTCCCCAATTTACAGTGGGGTTAGCTTTGAACGACTTTATTGTACGTTGATTCTAACATAGGTCGAATGCCTCTGCTTTTATTGTTATTACCTTTTATGACTAGTTTCTTTACAAAGGGGCTTTCAGCGAGGTCGTGGAAAGATGGAATCTCAATATATGGAATTTCCCCACGATCTTCTTGTGGTCTCCTCATGTGTGAGCCTTCGGGGGGAAGAGGGAAGATACTATGATAGCCCAGGCTTTTCACCTGTCCCACATTGGCTGTGGAAACGTGTTCCCTGACCACTGTCCCTTCTTCCCTTCCTTCTAGACGATTTGCTTTTGGAAGGCTTCAGCAACTACACTTTCCTCTCCAATGGCTACGTGCCCATCCCGGCTGCCCAGGACGACGAGATGTTCCAGGAAACCTTGGAGGCCATGGGCATCATGGGCTTCAGTGAAGAAGATCAGCTGTGTAGGCTTGGGTCTGGGGGCTGGTGAGACTAGAGTCACGCCTTTCAGTACTCCTGGGATCAGTCGGGGCTTTCTCTGGTTGTCTTTCTGCCCTGTGAATTCCCTACCCCCTCACAAAAAGGAAAAAGAATATTACTCTTGCTAATGTTTTTAAAAAGTGGCCAGGGCTCTTTCAGTTATGAGCTAATCAAATGGGCTTAAGCAAAAAGGGAAAGGTGTCGCTCAGAACCAAGACATGCAAGTACACGGGCTTCAGACCCAACGGGGTCTCGGGCCTCAGAAGATGTCTTCAGAACCCAGTTTCTCCCTCCATCTCCCAGCAGCAGTGTCTTCTTTTAGGCTGTAAACTCTCGGCAGCAACATGGCAGCTGTGGCTCCAGCCCTTATATCCTTGCACTTGAACTCAGTAGAAAAGGGCAGAGAAGATTCCCTGAGTGAGTTTGGCCAGTCTGGGTTAGTGTGTACATTCCCGAGAGACTCACTGTAGACAGGGGTCCTGAGAAGAGAGAAGCTCAGGGAGACGTTCTCCATCGAGACTCTGCTTCAAGACCTACATTTCTCTCTGACTAGCTGTGCCCCGATGTTGCAGTTACTCTCGTTTGGCAACACTAGAGGAGACTGTGGGAAGATTCCATGGCCTTCGGGACCCAGAATGGCACTAGCTACCGAGTGGGAGGGGCAGCGCCTTCCATGATAAATCAGGCTCAGAGAGACAAGGTTCTGAGATCCAATGACAAGTGAATGGCATTTGAGGGCTTGGGGCCAAAGTCCACCTCAGAATCCCAGGCTGTCAAATCACCCAGGCTGTCCCAGAAGGATGCGTTTTGTTTGAGACAGGGCTCCGTTTCGTGTCAGATCATTGTTTCTTAAGGAAAAAGAACAAAGCTTCGATGTTTGATGCGGACGGTTCACTGTGGTTAGCTGTTGACGGACAAGCCCCGGCTCTTAGTGGGCCCACATCCAATGGATGGACTCCTGTGCTCCATCGATTGCCAGACCTTTCCGCCTAGTCCTCCTGGGTTGGAAAGCTCCCCCGAGCCCTGTTCCACACCCTAGCTAGCACATCGGCGATGATGCCAAGCAGATTTCAGCAGAACTGCCAGGTGAAGACAGACTAGGAAGAAAGAGCTGGCAATCTACTTCGGAAAAAAAACAGTCAGCGAACACTGCTGTGGATCACAGCCATCGGATCCACAATTCCTCACTGGGCATGGGGTGGGGGTGGGGGGTGGGGACAGCACCCCAACATCAGCAACAAAATGTGCCCCAGGGCTCAGATGTGGAAACAGCGGCTGCAAGAAGCCCGCTGTGTTCTGAGATGTAGACTCACGCTGGGGATGGCATCTTGGCACTTAGTAGGTCATCAGTTCCCCCTCTGGTGCTCATCTTTATTCCAACCACAGAGGGCAGACAGACCCCAGGCCCAGCACCCAGGGCCTCCCCAAGACCCTTCTAGAATTCGACAGTCCCATCTGTTTCGCTTGTATCTTGTTTATGGCAAGTGAAGCTGATGTTTCACGTGAGGTAGGGAGAGACGGTGAATGTCAGGAAAGAGAAATACATGCGTATGTGTCAAGGGGAAATGACAGGCACGTGGCAGCCAGGTGGGTGGTATAGAGGGAGCCCACGGTAAGAGGGCGTATGTAAATGACTGGTGACTGCAGGGCAAGGCCTGAGACCGGTATGTTTCCCAACCCTGGTTACAAATTCAGGGGTCCCCACCAAGCCCTACACAGACACCAGAGGAGGAGGGCCCCACATTGCAACTTGAGGGGGTGTCCATCAGATTCTAGGGGAGAACCAACCAGAAGGGGCCTCAGAGACTCTCAACCCAATGAGCTTCCTGGAGCTCAGAGGGGAGCAGGGACTGGCCCCAGGCCACGCTGCAGGCCGGCAGCCGCACAGGACTAGAAGCCTAGAAGCTCGGGTGCATGGCAGGAACCCGTGTTATGCAATGGTTAAGTGCTTGGCTACTAACTGGAAGGCTACCCGTTCGAACCCACCAACCGCTCCTTAGGAGGAAGATGAGGCTGTCTGCTGCGGTAATGACAGCCCGGGAAGCCCTCGGGGGCAAGTCTATGCTATTCCGCAGGGTTGCTGTGAATCAGCCTTCCCTCAATGGCAGTGGGTTTTCAAATGTTACTGAGCACCGAGTATGTGCCAGACGCACGGCCCGGCGCTTTGCAAGCACTCTCGCGTGTTATCCTCACACAACAACCCCACGAGGGTGATGCCGTCACGGACCCGATGGCATGTGTGCCCGACTCAGAGTCGCCTTGATGGTGGTGAGTTTGAGTTTGGGGAGGGATTATCTAGATCCCTGTCCCCAAGCTTCACCACAGGGCCACCTCCTGGCTACATCTGGAGAATTTCCATCAAGGCATTCATTTTATCGCTTGGTTTTCCTGTTTCTAGACTAAATCGGAGGATTTGTTGTTGTTGTTTTTAATTCTACATTCCACCTAAAATCTCCCACCTGCATCCTGGATAGTGCAGGAGCCACCCTTTGGGAGGCTGTAGATGACCTGCATCCGTAAGAAGGTGGTGGTGGTGGTGGTGCCAGCCAGCTGGTTCTCACTCACAGTGACCCTGTGTACACTGACCCAAACACTGCCTGGTCCTGCGCCGCTCCCCACAATGATTGTTTGGTTTGAGCCCGCTGCTGCAGCCGCTGTGTCCATCCATCTTATCCAGTTACCTTCCTCTTTTTCTCTGCCCTCTACTGGACCAAGCATACCTTCCTCCAGAGGCTGGGTGCTCCACATCACATGTCCAAAGTATGTGAGACAAAGTCTTGCCATCCGTGTTTCTAAGGAGCATTCTCTCTGCACTTCTTCCAAAACAGATGGGTTTGCTCTCTGGGCAGTCCGTGGGACTTTTCAATATTTTCCCCCAGCACTGTCATCCAAATATATTGATTCTTCTTTGGTCTTACTTATCCAATGGCCCACTAATAGGGTGACTACTAATATTGACTATCAATTGCCCCAGACCCCTTTGCTCCAAATGATCCTAGTCCCGACTGCCCAGAATTACCTGGCTACCAAGTGTCAGTAGAGTGCTGAGCATGAGAAACCATGAGGTAGACGACTCGTCCGGGCTCTGTGGGCATTGTAATGATATGTCAGCTCTCCTTGCCCTTCCAGGACCATGTCTGTGGAACTGCCTAGTTTACTGAGCCCCTTTCGCGGGTGTTATCGTTACGAGATGCTGTCAACAGCAGCTCCCGTCCACTCTGGGGGAAGGGTTTCTGCAGGGCGGGGGGATGGAAGCAGCTGGTTGAGTGGCCTCTCCCTTACTGTGCTGGTCTGGGGACCCCAAGCTGCTGTGAAGGGTTTTGACACCCCCCTCCCCCCAGTTTTTCCCTGAGCAACCAAGAAGGCTCAAGTCTCCTGGCTGGAATATAGGGATGTCTTCGGGAAGTCTGAACTTCTTGAGGTTTGCCCCTGAGTAATGCTGAAGCCAAATATTTGTATCAATCTGTTCATGATTACTCCACCCATCATCTGTCCACCTACTCATCCATCCACCTACCCAGCCAGCCACCTACCCATCCATTGCCCACCCACTCACCTATCCTCTTGCCCACCTATCATCTACCCATCCATCCATCTATCTGTCTGTCTGCGTGCGGATCCTAGAGTAGGCTTTGAAGACTCAAAGATGACAGCCTGACCTTGAAATGTCCAGAAACTCATGGTCTGATGGGAAGTTCAGACACAAACCCTTTGAATAGTAACATGGGCAGAGTTGGGAGTCAGAAGAACCCCACGGGTTCTGGGGACACAGGGTTATTGACTGGAGACATTCGGACAGAAGATGGATAAAAGTTCTTCCTCCTTCCCAACGTGGACATCTTGCACACCCAACTAGAACATGCTAAGAAGCATCTGTTTTTTAAAAAATACCTTTCCTCGACATTCAATTTACCCTAGGAAAAGTGCATGTGTCATAAGAATACTGCTTGATGCATTTGAACACACAAAGTCCACGTGTGTAACTAAAAGAAACAACACCGTTGAGTCAATTCCAACTCAGAGCAACCTCCTGGGACCGAGTAGAACTACCCCCGTGGATTTCCAGGACTGCAGATCTTCATCGGAAGTAGGAAGATTCCTCTTTCCTCCTTGGAGTGGCTGGTAGTTTCAAACTGCTGACTTTGAGGTTGGCAGCCCAAAGCATAACCCACTATGTACCGGGGCTCCTTCTTGTGTAACTAGCACCTCTTTAATTAGGAGGACCCCGCCATCCCCCCGGGAGCTCCCCCATGCCCTTCCAGGCATTTCTCCGTCAAAGGAGGCTACTATCCTGACTTCTGACAGCAGGAGTCACGTCGCTTATTCTTGCACTTCCAATCAATGGACTGAGACACTATGTGTCTGCTTGCATCCGACATCCTTTTTCAACATCTGTGCTTGTGAGCCACAGCGGTCTGTTGTTAGTAGCTGTAGGTCAGCCCTTCTTGTTCCTGTACAGCAGAGGGTGACAGCCTTGTTCTGCGAAGGGCCAGATGACGTCACACAGTCGCTGTTGCAACTACTACGTTCTGCTGTTGGAGCACACACATAGGAAATACATAACTGAATAAATGTGACTCTTCCAATAAAACTTTATTTACAAAAAGCATGTGGTGGGCCTTGCTAGAGTTGGCCAGTCCCATTGTAGCACCCTATGAAAACAGACAGCTGCACGACGCTCTGGGTTTCTCCCCAGGTACCTGGGAGCTAGAGTTGCCTGGTTTTCCTCTGGGCTCAGGAGTCTCTTTAAGGGAAAGGCGTAGACTGGTTGTGGGTTTCCAATGGTTTTCAGATTCCATAGCTTCCCAGCACACTGGTATTAACAGCTGGGTCTTGTCTGTTGTCTCCCATCTCAGCCATATTGAAGGTGGTGTCGTCCGTCTTGCAGCTTGGAAACATCGTCTTCAAGAAGGAAAGAAACACAGACCAGGCTTCCATGCCAGATAACACAGGTATAGCTGCCTTTTCTCCATAACCGATGACTCGGAGGATGGGAAAGTGTGTGTGTTAATTTTGTTAAGATCATTTTCCTGGACTCTTACAGCTCTTATTATGATCCATAACCTCTCCGGTTTTGACCGTTTTCTGGCTGAGAGTATCTGGAGTGTTGTTGACAAGCCCTGGGTTCGGATATGACACTTGGCTTCTCTCTTTTTTCAAATGCATCCCTGAGGAAGACCCTAGAGTAGAAAGTTCTTTTTAAACAAATAATATTTCTTAGGTTTTAAAGGAAAGCGTACACAACAGTTGAGGCTCCCGCTCCACAGTTTCCGGGAGTTTTTCTGTGACGTTGGTACGTCCTTTAGGAGATGTGAACGTTCATGTTGTTTCCATCCGTTTCCATGTCATTCAAGGCCCCCTTATGTTGTCATCATTGTTTTAAAATAACTGTGGACTGTTCTGTCTCATAGAAGTGATTTTTTTAAGAAGAACACTATTCGTGGCTGACGGCTGTTCTCTTTGAGCCACGTTGTCATTTAGCTGCAAGGTGACTTTGGGGTAGTGTCAGTTCCAAGTTTGAAGAACACCTCAAGGTAAAGAAGTCCTGTAGCCTCAGTCTGGTCAATGGTTGGCTTTTTGTTTTGTTTTGTCTTTTAGGCATTTCAGGTTCTGTTTCTTATCTTCCTCTGGTCCCTCAGGAGCTACCTATTGTGGCCCTGATTAGAATGTCAGTAGTGGTAGCTGGGCACTATCTAATTCTTCTGGTCTCAGAATAGAGTAGCATGCTCTTGCCTCAAAGGGTAGGGAATAAATTGTTAGTTTTAGGGCAGGATCCTTACAACTTCCATCAAGTTGGTACCCGTTCCTAGGCCCTTGGGGATAATTTATTATAAATCCCTTCAAAACTCACTGATAGTGAGTCAGTTCCGACTTGTAGTGACCCTAACGGCCGGAGAGGAACTTTCCCTGTGGGTTTCCAAGACTAACTCTTTATGGGAGTAGAAAGCTGTGTCCGTTTCCCTCTAACCCCCCTACTCATTATATTAAATAAACATTTCTTGGACATCTACTGTGCAGCAGGTACTGGGATAGGGGAGGAAACAAGACAGAAGTCTCAATCGGTCCAGTACATGTGGGCTTCTTGAGAATTTGAGTTCTGTCCCACATGTTTCTCCCCTTCCAGCAGAACCCATCTAGTGTGGCCCTGCTCAGAACAGCTGTCCTTGGGAGCTGGACACCGTCTGGTTCTCCTGGTCTTAGAGCACACATTTTCTCTTTGAGCGTAGACTGGGTGTTTCTTGATGTGGGAGATGTCCTATGCCTCGTAGGAATTTTAACATCACCTTTGGCATTACATTGCCTGCCTGTCGCATCCCCTCCCTCAGTTGTGACAACTGAAAATGTCTCCAGACATTTCCAGGGATCCCCTGGGGGACAAAATCAAATCACTCTGGTTGACAACTTCCGGCCTACAGAGAAAGGGAAAGGTCATACTGTTAACTGCTCGTTAGTATTCTGTCTTACAGAAATAGCACATTGCATTTGTCATGTGGGGCTCCAGCTTACCATAATACCACACTATTCGTTAAGGAAGAACCCTGGTGGGATAGTGAGTTACATGTTGGGCTGCCTACCACAAGGTCAGCAGTTCAAACCTCCTAGGCATTCCGAGGGAGAAAGATGAAGCTTTCTGCTCCCACAAAGATGTACAGCTGAACGAGTTAGGTCAGGGAAGTCGAAGCAAAAAAAAAAAAAGATGTATAGCTGAGGAACCCCAATAGAGGGGGACTGTGAGTGGAATCGCACTCAACAGCCCTGAGTAGTTTTCACCCTCGTGGTCATGTCAGCTGTTCCCAGTATCCTGCTGTTACAACACATCTCATTGAACAGAGGGTAAAATGCGTATCCAATGGTTACTAGGCCAGGCAACTGTGCATCTCCATTGGCAACGCAACAGTGTACCAAGTAGCTTGCTCTTTCTAAAGCTGAAAAAGCAAGGCTCTAGGACAGCGGAATAGCTTGTCTGAAGTCACATGGCTAGGCAGTGGTAAGGGGCAAGGACTTGAAACTGGACTCTTCCAAGCCTCCAAACCCCATGGTGCATACCTCCCACTCCAGATTCGCCATGAGCTCTTCGCCAAGCACCAGGACTGGGTTTGCTAGTCACGGTGCATCTGGGGGCTCTCGGATACTATGTTCTCTACCCTCAGGCTCTATTTTCCAAGAGAACCCCATGTTTGCCCACCTCATGCATATCCATGTGATGTCACTAGGTTTCCACCCTCTCTCTTTGCTGAGGGACTCCAAATGTGTTCTTTCCCCCCACCCAGCTGCTCAGAAGGTTTGCCACCTCATGGGAATCAATGTGACAGACTTCACCAGAGCCATCCTGACCCCACGTATCAAAGTGGGGCGAGACGTGGTACAGAAAGCTCAGACGAAAGAACAGGTAATGATGTACTTGCCATTTATTCCTGCAGCATCCTACATCCATCGTTTGTCCACCCTCTTGTTTCTAACCCACCCCTATATCCATCCATCCACCCACTCACCCATCCACTCATCCCCTTCTCGCCATCCATCCATCCATCCATCCATCTGTTCTTTGGTCATCCATTCAACCACCCATCTCTCCATGTACTCACACAATCATGCTCTTACCCCGCCATCACCCAAGGGCTAGGATACTGGAAGCCCAAGTTCGGTTCTTTGCAAGAACAGCGGCGTAACTTACTCCTATCCCCAAGGTTTCCTGGTGGCAAGTATGCACCCTGACATAAGAGACTTATCCGTGGAAATGACTATACACCCTTGCTGGAGACAGGGCTGTCTACCCCTGACTGATCCCTGAGATGCAACCGATCCCATCCTCCCTCTGAAGGGAGATGTTCAACCATTCAGACAGTCGTCCTTTAGTCCTGACACTACATTGCTTCCTGCTTCTTCTCTACTGGTTGTAGAAATAGGCTGATTTTCTTTTCTGTGTATTTGTTGCTCATAAACCCCTGCACCATCATCCTGGCCTAGGTAAACACATAGCCCACCAGTTACCTTGTCCCCTCGGTCCCTGCAGGCTGACTTTGCCATAGAGGCCCTGGCCAAGGCCATTTACGAGCGTCTTTTCCGCTGGATCCTCACCCGTGTGAATAAAGCCCTGGACAAGACACACCGGCAAGGGGCCTCATTCCTGGGCATTCTGGACATTGCTGGATTTGAGATCTTTGAGGTATACCTCCACCCGATCATAATGATCATGCTTTTGATCCTCTGGCACAATGCTTGCCCTGGGAGAGAACATTGCTTTGGAAAGGGGGCAGGTAGCCCCAGCAGGGTAGGCAGCTGCCTAGTGAAGGCTAGACCCTTGAAGGTAAAAGAGACAGAGATCTTCTTGTGACACCAAGATGGCCAGAGATACAGCTGGATTCAGAAGGCACCTGCCTTCTCTCTCTGCCTTCCTCCTTACCGGTCTCGTTCTCAGGCAGGCCCTTGCCTAGTGGTGAGCAGATGGCTGACTGCCACAGTGCCAGAGCACATTTCAGTGGCCCTGACAAGAATGAGCACATCTTTTCCCAAAAATAATTTTAACCAAAATATTATAACTGAGTCTCATTAACTTTTGTTCTCCTGTCTTGGGCCACACAGTCATGTCTGAACCAAGTAGTGCTTTTGGGGTCTTGCAGTTCTTCAAGTAGGGTACACATAGCTAGTGGACCCCACCCTCGTGGGCTAGAAAGAGGTTCTCAGAGATGGGGAAGGGTCTCAGGGTGGGCATCTATCCCAAGAGACGTCTGCTACAGAGTTATGCCCAATCTGAGCCTTAGTTCCTGCATCTGTAAAATGGAGAGGACAACATACCTCATAAGGAACCCAGGTAGTGTAGAGGTTAAATACTTGTCTGCTAACTGACAGGTAGGCAGTTCTATCCCACCAGCTGACTTGTGGGAGAAAGATGTAGCAGCTGGCTTTTGTTAAGATCACAGACGTGGATACCCTATGGGACGAGAGTTCTACACTGTCCTAGCAGCCATGAGACCATATCTCACATGGATACTTGAGGCATATGCAGGAGATAAAGCATCCTTGAAACAATGTGTGAGAGAACATTGGAGCAGGGTATAAAAGAAACGTACCTCTCACCAACCCTGCTGAACCTGATGACTCCTTCATGGGGGCCCACGCCTTCTCTCTGGGTGCTAAAATGGCAGAACAGGCCCCTGTGGTGAGGGTGGCAAGCCCTGGGGGCTCTGTGGACTGGAGCATCCCTGGGCCTGTGTCCCCAGGACTTTGTACAAGGACTCACCTGGCCTCCCCTGGTGTCATGTGCACAGGTGAACTCCTTTGAGCAGCTGTGCATCAACTACACCAACGAGAAGCTGCAGCAGCTCTTCAACCACACCATGTTCATCCTGGAGCAGGAAGAGTACCAGCGTGAGGGCATCGAGTGGAACTTCATCGACTTCGGCCTCGACCTGCAGCCCTGCATTGAGCTCATTGAGCGGCCGGTGAGGGGCCACCCTTGTGTGCTGTGTGCTCCTCCCTGTCATAGGCGTAGATGGCCATCACTTAGCTGATCCAAGTGCCCTGCATCCGCCCATGTGCAGGTGGCTTTTCCCATGACCATGTCCTGAAAGATCGCCCTCTGAACCTTTTTTTTATTGATATTTTATTGTGTTTTGAGTGAAAGCTTAAACAATAGTTTAGGTTCGTCTTCAACAATTGCTATACAAGTTGTTCAAAGACCTTGGTGACTTGGCAATGTATGAACATTCCCTTATTTCCATTCTGGTTGTTCCATTTCCATTTATCTAGTTTCCCTGCACCCTCATATTTAAAAGTTGTCAACCGTTTGAGCTTATATAAGTGATTTTTTTTTAAAGTGGTTTTATTGGAACATAATCCGCATACCATACAGTTCAATAGTTCAGTCATTTCCAGAAGAGTTGTACAATCATCACCACAATCAATTCTAGAATATTGTCTTCTTTCTTGTACTCCTTGTTATTAGCGTCTCACTTTCCCCCAATTTTCCCTGCCACTCCCCCAAGACACCATTGATCAGTTACTGTCTCTGTAGGGTCACCTATCTATCCTGGATTTCATACACTGAAAAGTATACAAAAACAAAGAAACAAACCCCCCAAAAGCTAACAAAAATAACAAAATAAAATAGAGACCATTCCTTTATGGGGGTCATTGGACGGACTGTGTGCAGTCATGCGAATGTGTATTAAGATTTATTTATATCTCAAAACTGTGAGAGTCTTCTCCCACTGGAGTAGACTTTCCCAACCCGCAATTATGAGGCTAGAGGATTTAGCTACACTACATTCTCATCCAGTCCCTCTGTTTACCACACTAAGTCAATTGACCGAGATATCCCACAAGCCTGGTGCTAATCCTTGAAATGCACACTGAATTTTTGTGACTGAACCCGCACTTTTTTTTTCTTTTTAAAATCATTTTATTGGGGGCTCATATAATGCTTATTGCAATCCATCTGTCTATCCATTGTGTCAAGCACATTCGTACATTTGTTGTCATCATCATTCTCAAAACATTTGCTTTCTACTTGAGCCCTTGGTATCAGCTCCTCATTTTTTCCCCCTCCCTTCCCATATCCCCTCCCTCATGAACC